AATCAAGGAATCTCTTGAGTAAAAAGCATGTAACTATATCCTAAATAACAATCTATTAAAAGTGATTAATCCCCCAGTATAGTATTTTAGCCAATAAATGGTTCACAGTATTGCTACTTCACCCATTAATATTTTGAGTTATCTGTATAAGGTGCTCTCTAGGGGCTTTTTCCTATTAACAAGAGTGTGTTCTGGGGCTATATAAACTTTTAGAATGTATTTAATAAAGTTATTCATCTCTACAGTGTTTTCTTAGATTACCTAAGTATGAAGGTACGGAAATTGACCTAAAGGACAATTGCCCTTTGGAACAACTAACCCTCAGGGGAACCGCTCCCTAAGAAAATTGACACTGTCTTAACCTAACAACTTAACCTATCCTATCCTACCAAAACCTAACCAGATATGAAATTATAAAGTTTTCAAGCTGAACATCTTTTCATTTATTAGTCCTAAATTATATGATATATTTCACTTTAATATATTCAAGGGGTAATTGTCTAGTTTTGCATACGGACCTAAGAGACAATTTTCCTAAAGCAAAAGTCCTTGGGGTAATTGTCCTAAGGAGTAACTGTCTTGAGGGGCAAATTATTCGTGACCACCCCCAAGTATAAAGGCTATTTTCTAAGATTATTTATCTTCATAAGATACTTACCTTGCTCTTTTTTACTTGATTTTTATTTGTGTTTCTTCATCACTGCAATGATTTATTAAATTTCCTAATTTTACAGGTTTTTTGTGAGGTTATTCATCCTTGCTGGGTGATTTCCAGGTATATTTATAAACACAGCTTTTGTTCAGAGGTTATTCATATCTATAAGGTACTTTCTAGGGGGTAATTAATCATATCCTTTTGCTTTCTTTAGTAATTCATCATTACAGAGTGTGTTCTGGGGTAAATTGTATAGGCAAGATAATTTATGTGACTGGTCACATTTGCAAAGAGCTTTTTGGGGTTGCTAATTATACAGGGCTTATTCTAAGGTTATCATTCTTACAGAATATATTCTGAGGTTATTCATCTTTTCAGGGTACTTTCTAGGGTTGTTCCTAATTACAAAGTGTTTCCTTTGTCTATTTATGTTTACATTTGGAAGGCGTTATTCATCTTTTATAAAGGCCCGATTTCTTAAACAGTGTAAGCCTAGAATACCATATTGTTAGTTAGCTAGACACACACAAATGACTTTCATAAACGCATCTGAAGCGATTCTGTGTATGGCTAATATCCCCCTATGGGGGAATCCTAGCCATACACAGAACTGCGTCAGATGCGTTTATGAAATCCATTTGTGTGTGTCTAGCTAACTAACAATATGGTATCCTAGGTTTACACTGTTTAAGAAATCGAGCTAAAGTGTTTTCTCGAGCTTTATATCATAACAGTTGTTTTTCTTTAATTTTATACCATTTACAGGTAGCTCCGGGGTTTTATTCGTTTTCATAAAGATTGTTGGCTTCTTCATACTTATGAGGAGATTTCTGTGGATTTTTTTTTTACTGTTGCATCACAGTTATTCATCTTCACAAGGTATTTCCAGTTTTCTGGGGGTTATCTAACTCTACAGGGTATTTTGTAAGGTCATTTATCTTTACACAGTTTCTGATATTAATTCTTTTAAAAGGTGTTTTGGGGGTTATGCTTATACTGTGTTTCTAGGTTAGTTATATATTATATATATATATATATATATATATATATATATATATATATATATATATATATATATATATATATATATATATATATATATATATATATATATGTATGTATATATATATATATATATATATATATATATATATATATATATATATATATATATATATATATATATATATATATATGGCTTAGCTTCGGTTTTACGTCACGATCTCCCTTTTCAACAAAGGGCTAGGACGGTTGCCTTTTTGCGAAAGACTTGTTTTGGCAGATGTAATCGTTACCCTGAGTGTATGCTATTATTAACCTCAGTCCCGTAAGTGCTACAGGCAGTTATATATATCTGTAAAAAGGAAAAATGGTGACTACGGTAGCATAGTGGTGAAAATATCCGACTTGAGAGTTGAAAGACCCGCGCTCAAGCCCACCGTGGGAAGACTGAAGGGGCATCCAGCCTTAATTTTCTAGCCACACTGTCTTCATTCCCATAATGGGAGCTAATGGTGACACATAAAAGAAAACTCATATTTGTACAAAATCCAGGTGAGGATTTGAGCATCCTCTGCCTCCCGTGGTTCATTTTCTTTGCCTCTCTTACTCAGCATTAGTATCTTTTTTTCTCCTGGAGCGATGATCTAAAATACTGCCTCAGTGTTCCCCAGCTTGTTGCAAAAGTTGTCTAAATGGGAGAACGAGGGAACGAAGCCAACCAGCCTTTTGTGTCGTCCTCCTGGGATGAGACAAGTCATTCGAAGGGGTTCTGGTCGGAAACTTGCAACAAGATCCAAAGAATCGGAGTGTGCTTTGACTTGACTACCCACCTTTACAAGGGTG